ACATCAACAGAACAAAGGAGGAAAAAAATCATATGATCATCTAAGTATATACAGGAAAAAAACTGAAAAACTTCAACACCCTTTTATGCTAAAAACTCTCATCAAACTAGGATTAGAAGGGTACATACAAAAAACTTATAGTTTATACTTAATATTGAAATACTGAATGCTTTTCCTCAAAGATAGAGAATAAGGCAAGCATTTTTGGTTTCACCACCTCCATGAACCATTGCACTGCAGTCACTGTTGTAAGAAAAAGAAATAAAAAGCATAAAAATTAGAAAGCAAAGAATTAAAAAAGTGAAGAAGTAAAACAATCATTATTCTCAGAGGACAGGAGAGAACTCCAAGAAATTTATTTATTTTCTTAAAAAAGTACTATAACTTTTAGATGAAATTATCCAGCTGGCAGGATACAAGGATAATATAAAACACAATTGTATTTCTATATACCAACAACAAACAATTCGAAAGTGAAAGTAATAAACAACACTAAAACATTGTCACCTCATTGAGGAAAGTCTTTTTCCATGTAGGAAAAAAGTGAATCTTAACTCTTACTTCACACCATACAAAAACAATTTGAGATGGATCATAGAACTAAATGTAAAAGCCAGAACCAGAAAGCTTCTATAAAAAAAATATGGGAGCATATATTCACCACCCTGACAAGACACAAAAACCACTAACCATGGAAGAAAAATTGTTAAATTGGATCTCACCAAAATCAAAATATTCTGTTTATTGAAAGTTGCCATTAAAAAATATTTAAACAAGTCATAGACTGGGGAAAAATATTTGCAGTGCATAAGCCTGACAGAGGACCCATATTTTTTGGAATTACAGGAGAACTGATAAAGAATTACTACAAATCAACAATTAAAAAGTTGAACTCCATTAAAAAGATTCGAATAGAATAGTCACTTCTCAAAAGAAGATATAAGAATGTGGAAATAACCACAGGAAAAGGTGCTCAACATCATTAGTCACCAGGAAAATGCAAATTAAAACCATAATGAGAATCTTTTCACACCCATAAGAATGGCTAAAATGCAAAAATTAAAAAGTCTAATACACCACATGTTTGCAAGAATATGGAGAAACTGAAATTCTTACCCATTTCTTTTGGGGATTATAAAATGAAATAAGTACTTTGGAAAATTCTTGAGAAGTTTCTCATAAAGTTAGCTACTTATCTACCTTAATTCCACTCTTTGCTATCTATATTAAAACACATATTTATAAAAAGACTTGAACATGAATATTCACAGCATATTAATTCATAATAGCATACAACAGGAAACAACACAAGTATCAATCAACAGGAGAGTAGAAAACCAAGTGATACTATATTAGTCTAATAGAATACTACTCAGCAAAGAAAGGAACATGAGTGAATCCCAAAAACATTACATTTGAGTGAAAGAAGCCAGACACTGACATACACAAAACACACACACACACTGTAGGATTCCATTTATATAAAGTCCAAAAATAGGCGATCCTAATCTATGGTGATGAAAATCAGAAAGAAGTTGCCTCTGAGGGAGAAATGGGGGAAATTAATTAGAAAGGGGCATGAGGCAACTTTCTGGGGTGGTGCCAACGTTCTATATCTTGCTTTGAGTGGTGGTTACACCTACATACACAAAGGTCAAAATTCATCAAATTGTATTTTATTCTTCAATTAAGGGGAAAAAAAGGTACTTCACCAGGAAAACGTTAAAAAAACAAAAGCCATTACAAGAAGCACATAATTATTTAGTAGAAAGAGGAAAACTGGTATGTCAATAGACTTACCTAAAATTTTTTTCAAATGTATTATTTTTTCAAGTATTTTCAAGTACTTTTTCAAGTTTAAAAATAATTTTATTTTCAAATATAAGTAAATGAACCTAGCCTTGTGAATTCATCTAAATAGAGAAACTCAGACTTGTGTGTTAATGTACTGGAGAGAAACAAAGAGAAACCAGTAGCATATAAATATTTCAGTCTCTGTGAATTGCAAATAGAATGCTTCACAATCTGGAGAATTTTAAGACATGAAAGAGCCCAAAGAAGCAAAGGTAAAAAGATCAAATACGGGATGCAGAACTAACAGCTGTGACTTAGTGAGTTAATAAATATGCTGAACAAAATCAAACCCAACAAAGCACTGCAAGTCTGTAGCTTCCAAGTAATTAACACACTAATCAGAAACACATGAGATGTATAATCAGCCCTACTTCATACTGAAAGCGAGGACTCCTTGGTTACAACAAATATTCCCCATTTATAAGTAGAGTTATGAAAAGTAGACCAGATAAAGGCATACATGAGGCAAAGGAGAAGTAACCTAACTTTCTCTACCTAAACGCTAACTATCTGCAGTGAATGAGATGAAAGTTCTGTTTTTATCTCTCTCTTATTCTATATCATTCTTTTCACAAGACTGAAAACACCTAATAATAACCAGGAAAAATGTAAATTCATAAATAAGGGTTGCATTTACACTTTTATTTTCAAGGCTCATCACCAGTTTTAAGAGTGAAATTATCATTTCAACCATATTATTAATTTTTAATTAGTAAATGAAAAAAAATGTCTGAATACCCACAATTCAATCTAACTTCACATTTCTTGCACTTCCAGACAGAAAGCCAGAATTAGCAAACACTTCAGAGGATTAAACTTTTGATCAAAATATAGGCTCTTATATAAGCTAACCAATAATTATCTTTTCTTTGGAACAGTTATCTTTCAACAATGTGCCATCCCTGACACACCTGTGATTTGTCAGAACACACCAGGGAGTCCCCCATTTATCCTTCTAGCTGTCCCCCATACATACTCTCTAGTCCCAAAACCTTCTTCTGAAATCACATGTCCTACCCCAATACTCCCTCATAATTACTTCCACTTGACTTTTCTATTCCCTGCTCTCCACAACAAACGAAGAGGCCCAGGCGATCAGAACTCATAGGGAGAAATAAATAATGCACCAAAGGTTCTGAGGTTAAAGGAAGAGTAGCCCAATTGAGGTTACATACCTCAGCTGTTATTGTTTTATTATATATATACTTACAGGCTGCAGTGGTTCTAATTTAAATACTATCATACTTAGTTTTCTGACTTTCTAACTTCAGTTTTTCCTTCCTAAATCATCATTATGACATCTGAAAAAGGAACGTGGGGTCAGTAACCTTCATAAACACTTAGATAGAAGAAAGGAATGGAATCAAGATGGAATTTCTAGTTTTAATACTACCTCTAGTTTTATTCAAAGTACAAAACAAACTAAAATAAAACAGAACATTCAAAGAAGGATTTATGAAGTAAGGTCCCTTAGAGTTGATTAGATTACAGATATGTAGAAAGGAATCTGCTTTTCATTCACTGAATGATCAAATGCATATACATTAGAGAATTTATGTTGGTAGAATTTATGTAGGTATGTTTAGTAATGGATTATATTAACATATATAGGATAACTTCCTAACTAAATAGTTAAAAATGCTGGAAATGTAATAGCTGCACAAAAACACCAGCAACATATTCAAATAATGAGAGAACCAATGATAATAAATGTGACATTTAGTGTCTAAATCTGGGTTTAGTGAGATTTCTTTCCTGAAACAAATGGACTAGATCAAATTTCCCTGAAAAGGAAAAAGGGATCTTTAAAGACATTTTCCACCTCTCCTTGTTAGGACACTTTGTGAAATGTTACCTGTGCCTAAATGAACCTTTAAGTTCCATCCTCATAAAGACGTTGTACAACCTCATGAGGATTTTTCTAACCTCTGAGCAGGACTGAAGGAAACAGCTATTATACTAAAGAAAAGAAAGGAAGTTTGAATCAGTTGCACAACCTAGCCCCTTTGGAATGTCAATATCCTTATGCATAACACTATATACATTCCCTTGAAATCGATGAAGGTTAAATGAAACAATTTATATGAAAGTATTCTATAAACAGTAGTGGATATGTAAAGTTGAAATCCCATTTTATTGATGAAGATGATTATAATAAAAATAATCCAAAATAAGTTATAGTAAAGAAGGTGAGATTTACACCAAAAATTGCTCATTTAGACCAAAATAGACTTAAATAAATAGATACATTTGTCCTACAAATTGTCTCAAAGGATTTGTTCATACTCTATATCTAAGTAGATAGTGAATGACATTGATTGGATCCAAAGTCCCCTTCTCTTGGATTTTATGAGGCCCATTCAGAATGAGCCAGGTTGAGAACACCATCAATTCCATGTTCTGAGTCCATCTGTTGACAAAAATATAATGCAAACAGCTTTATAAGTGCTATTTTCAATGAAATATCACAGAACAGCTTGTCCCAATGATATTTCTAAAGCTTGCCTGAAAACCGCCTACTGGGAAATCCAACTGAAAGAGAAGAGGGAAGAGAGGGAAACCCATACAGACAAGTGACAGAGATGGAAAGAAAGAAAAAAAACAAAAACAAAAACAAGGGGTAAAGAGAGACTATGTTGAGAGAAGTGAGCTCTGGAGGAAAATAAGGAGCAACGAGAGGTGCAATATCAAACACAGACAAAATTAGTTAGAAACCATAAGGAATAGAGAATTTAAAGAAAATATATAAAAACAACTGCGGTTGAAGGATACAGAAGTGATCATAAATAATGTAGCATGTCCAGAGAAATGAAGCCCAAAGGAGCAGAAAACATGTAACAGCTCAATAATTGGAATGTAATTATTAAAATGCTGTGAGAGGAAAATGATGTGAAATTGCCCTTTTTCTATGCTTCATTTGTTTATTCATGTAACATACAAATTCATTTTTCCAAAAGCTAACGCAGATTTTAATGTCTATCATCAACTCCAAGGGAAGGAAAGATCCTCTTCCAAATCCCTTCTTTTAACCTAAAAATCCATATACACATCATAACATAGCCCAGGCATTGCAATATCAGTTGTGCATGCCCTGATTCAAAAATAAAATACATGATAGCGCAGATGATGTCATTCTGGGCACTTACCTGGGGTCGAATAACTTTTACAATATTTTTGAGGGCAGTGTCAGGGGACGGAGGTGAGCAGTCAGGTGTTGGGCCTGTTGAGCTGTTTCTATGGTTACTAGTTCCTGGAGCAGTAATTGGTACCTCAGAAGCATTATCTGTGAATAAAAATAGAACTGCCATGAACCTAATCACTCAGTTTACCTTTTCAGACCTGAAATTACTTTCGTGAACATGAATTGAGATTTCAACTTAAAACTGGTACCAATTACAAGACCATAATGAGGAATATGCTCAGCAGTGTATTTTAAAGATAATGTTTATTTAATGCTTTGTTTTCTTTTAGAGTGGTAGATATCACCCTTGTAATAGTCCAGGAAGGAAGAGTATTATTATTCAATTCATAGCGATAGATCATCCAGCATAGCTGTTAAGACTGCCACTATCATATGTATGACAAAATTTTACCTTAACTAAAAAAATATGATTTTTATATGATTGAGCTAAGTTTTCTCCATAATCTTTCAAAATTGATCTTTATTAAAGTAAAAGTTTAATATCTCCCTAATTCATAAGACCCCAATTCAAGCCTCCTTAAAGCATTTTTCCCAGAAACCCCTCAAACTATAGAAAAGCATCCCAGTAAATTAACCTTGATGAAAAACTGACATTTGTACAAAATGGTTTTATAATGTGGACAAACATAGAACTATCAACCCCAGATAAACATATATCCCCCTATATGGTCAAAAGTAAGTGAATGAAATTTCAAAAATTTAAATTAATCTTCCATTATGTTCAGTATTGGGAGAGAGAAATAAAGAAAGGGATGACTTTAAAATCAGCAACATGTGTAACATTTTCTTCTTAAATTTATATCAAAACAAAATAACACCAAAGATGCAGTTTTGGTATGTTTAAAAGTACTTGGAAAAGGATGGAAAATGTTCTACAAATAACCCTTGCTAGCACATAGAAAGTTATATTATTTTAACAATTTGGCAATCCTCTATACAGCTTTTTATGGAAACTGTTACAAGATCAAACCTGTATAAAATTTACTTCCCTGTTATGTTTTTAATTAGTTCCCAATACAGTTAGTTGACAGTTGAGCTGATGCAAAAAGACTGAGACTGCTAATTCTTTACAGACCAGCAAGTTTCTCTCTTCCATGGCCCTTGTCTACAATCTCAAGTGAAAAGCAGTATTTGTAAAGGCACCTTTTGCTCATCAAAAGCAAGAGGATGAAAACTCTACCTACCACATAAAAATATAATTCAGGGAATCCAGAAATAGTCTCATGAAACAAAAAATACAAGTGTGACGTTGAATTAAATGGATCATTTATAAAATAAATCTTAAAAGTGTCCAGAACTCAATCTTTGACTCTGGTTTAATAGATAAGGTGAGATTTGAAACAGCATCTCAAGAATAGGCAGGGTTCTGAATAATAGCAGTTTGTGGGGATGGTCTTCTGAGTAGGATGGAATAATATGAGTAAATATTAAAACAAAAACAAAACATCAGTCAATGAGCCAATGACAAGATGCCCTGATTCTCTCCAATTTGTCCCTTCCTTCTTTCATTCATTCAACCATATATCTCAAAACATTCATCTGGGGGCAACTATGTGTCAGGTATCAAGTCTACGTTCTAAGGTTAAATTAAAAAGAATCTCTAGCCAGGGATTAGCAGGTAGGGAATGATGAAAGGTGGAGCACAGAGGATTTTTAGGGCAGTGAAACTATTCTGTGTGATACAATACTGGTGGATAGATGTCATTATACATTTGTCCAAACCCATAGAATGTATAGCACCAAGAGTGAGCCCTAATATAAACAATGGACTTTGGGTGATAATGATGTGTCAATTTGGTTCATTGATTGTAACGAATGTACCACTCTGGTAGGGGATGTTGATAGGGGGCGGGCTGTGCCTGTAGAGGGGAAAGGGGTGTATGGGAGCTCTCTGTACTTTCTGCTCAATTTTGCTGTGAATCTAAAACTGCCCTAAAAAATAAATTCTATTAAAGGTTTTAAAAATTTCTGCCCTTGAGAAGTATACAATCAAATGTGGCATCAGACATGCAAACAAGTTATAATACAATGTAACTTGAGAATTGATAACAGGTAAATGAAGCATGATGAAAAAACAGAAGGAGGAGCAATCAGACTGTGCCTGGAAAAGAAGACAATTGTCAAAGGCTTCAGTTTTCAGGCAAGAAAGCTGGAACAGAACATAAAACATAAGGGCATGAAGGCACAAAAAGCACAGATGAAGCTGTTATCTCATGTTTTGAAGAAGTTGGAGATAAGTTAAGATGAGATAAGATAAGTTTATTAACATATAAGTTTATACTTAATTCTGTAGGCAAGAGAAATATTGAAGATATTTAAGCAGGGAGTGACATAGTAATAATAATAGCTAATGTTCATTCGATTCCAATGAAATAACGTTAGACTTTATTCTCCTTGTCATTTATCATTTATTCTCTCATTTGTACTTTTCATTGTTGTCTCTCTGTGTTACATTCTGAGTCATTTCTTATACTCATTTTCTATTTTATTGGCTCTTTCTTCAGCTGTTTCTAGCCTACTATCAAACCATTTTCTTAATTCCAATTATAGTTTTCACCTCTAAAATTTCTATTTGGTTCTTTTTCAAATACACTATGTCACCATTTGGCATTTTACAGTTCCCTGAAAACATTTTCAAGCTTACTTTTATTTACTGGAAAGCGGCAGGTATAGTTGTTTTGTTTTTTTAAATCTGTGTCTGATAATTCCAGTATCTAAAGTCTTGATGGATCTATTTCTGTGTCTCCGGTTCTCACTCATGGTATCCTGTTCTATTGTCTGTCTCATCTTCAATTCTGTGCTACTTGTTATTGAACTTTTTGTTAGAACAAGACATATAACATTAAGTATAACTCTTTGTATTTTAGTAACTGTTAATTCAAAACAGCATGCAAACTTGCATTCTAATACCAGATGGTGAAGACTGTGGAAAACTTGCCTGTTCAATGTTAGACTATTTAACCTCTCTGGATTTCAGATTCCTTACCTTTAGAAGTAAGGATGACAAATTACTATCCTGTAGGGTTTATATATGCAGATAAATTGCGAGAATACATATGAAAAATGACTAGCGCATTATCATATACATAGTATAGGTTTAATAAATTTGAAGGGTTTTTTCCCTATCAAAACAAATATCATCAGAACTAAAATAAAATATGGAAGAGAAAAGCAAAAAGATAAATAGTAATGCTTTGTAGATAACACATCTAGAGTAATGACTGTGGGTACTTGGGTAGGGTTTGAGACCAGTATATTTTAGCTGGTAACACAAATTGGTAGAGACAGAATTTAATTCCAGGAATAAGAGATGATCTCTTGAGGAATGATTCACTGCAAAGGCTGGCCCTGTTGACTGCCTTTGTATCAAAGGCAGAAAAACTCCTGGATAGTCCATGCAGACCGTAAAGCAAAAGCTTCTTGAATGTTTCTCATAAGTCATTTTATACACAGTACAAGATAGAGGATAATCAAGTACTAAATTATTTAGAAAAGACCATAAGTGTCTCCATGTTCTGAATCCATGATCTGCACCATTACACAGATAATTTGATTTTATACTACCTTGCATTGTCCATTATCTCTTCCAGACTAGGTTGTATTTTCACAGAGATTTATATTTCCCTTATCCCCTCCATAGCTCTTAGTTCAATGCAATCCTTTAAAAATACTAAGTGAAATAAAGTGAATAAAGCAAAACCTATGTGTCAATGACAACCATCACAAGTGCCCTTAATTACATGGAGAAAGGTGATCTGGCTTTTATAATTCCATGGTCCTTTTGGAGAAAATCCAAATAAGAAGCATATTCTGGAACATACATAAGAGTCTGAGGAAACTGATTTATTCCTAAAATATCCTTTATTATATTTTATAAAAAAAATACCAATTATCCAGTGGACTTTGTAAAATGACAGCCTTTGTCCAAGATAGTTTTACATAGTCAATCTACATTTCACACCTGCAGCTGCAAAACATTGCTGATGAAAAGGAAATGAGGTGTGTAAAAACTGCTTAAAGAAAATTACTGAATTCACTTGCAATTTCAGAATGAAATGAAAGACATCTTTTAGTCAGATTCCCTTACTATGCATTAGATTATGCATTATTACTGACAGTTTCCTCTACAATAACAAGCTTAGGAAAAAACTTCTAGTTTACTTGAGCTTTTAGAAGAAAAGTATTCTATGAATACAAAATAATTCATGTGCAATGTTACAGCGTAGAATTTTGACATCATTCTCTAGCATGTACCTAACAGTTACAATACACCAAAGACCATGCTAGTTGCTATGTGGCTGACAGATAGGACTGAGATTACTTCTAGCTGGGGATTCAGGAAAAGTGTCAGGGGAAGACATGATGATTAAGTAGCTCTCTGACAGATTACTAAAATTTAGACATGAAGAAATGGGTGGGAAGAGCATTCCAAGGGTTGAAAGTATGATGAGCAAAAGGTAGAGATGAGGAAGAGTTAGGCACATTTGTGGAATAAGGAAGAGTTCATTGTGAATAGAATATTCACAGAGGAAATACTAAGGAATGGAGGGCCATATACAATGAATTTGGGCTTTGGAATCAGACAAACCTAAACTGAAATCCTGGCATATTTAACCTCAGTTTCCTCATTTGTGAAACAGTGATTTTCTCACAGTCTTGTAAGGATAAATGAGGTATGTGTGTATGAATGTGTGCGTTGAACATATTGCTTGGCACATAGTAAGAGCTCAACAAAAGTAGCTATTGCTATTATCATCATATATATGCATATATTAGTAATAAGTATAACTAGATAGGTGGCTTGTGGTGTTATTGTGGAAAGTCTTGAATATAACACTAAGTAATCATCAAGTAAGTATTTAATAATTATTCATCTACCAATTCATGAAGTTCAATTTTTAATTGTTGACCTTAAGCCAGGGATTAGCAAACTTTTTCTGCAAAGGGCCAGATAGTACATATCTTAAGCTCCGTAGGCTATATGGTCACCTTCATAACTACTCGACTCTGCTGTTGTAGCACAAAAGCAACAATAGACAATATGTGAACAAAAGGTGTGGCTGTATTCCAAGAAAACTTTA